TCCTTTTCATTGAAATTTTCAAATGTATTAACATCCAGTTGTAGATCACATAATGTTTTGAAACATACATGTCTCATTTTTTCTGTTTTACGGAATTTAGCAAAGGTTTTGTCTACTTAGTGGATCTGTTCTCTTTTTCAAAAAACAATCTCTTGGGTTTATTTATAAATTCTACCATTTTTATTTTTTCTGTGACAATTACTCTCTATTGAACTGTAGGCCACCTTAGATCCTTTCGGCTTTCCAGAGCCCAGGTTCAAGTTTTATGGTGTGGCTCTCTTCCTGAAAAGTTGCATATTAGGGACATTTTTATAAACAGAGTGGTATTTTCCATAAATTTGCATTTCCATTTCACAGACACTTTATTTTCATTTTTAAAAACTTGAGTGAGCAAAGGTTAATGTTTCTTTTTTTTTTTTTAAATTTTTTTAAAGATTTTATTTATCCGACAGAGAGAGAGACAGTGAGAGAGGGAACACAAGCAGGGGGAGTGGGAGAGGGAGAAGCAGCCTTCCCGCGGAGCAGGAGCCCGATCTGGGGCTCAGTCCCAGGACCCTGGGACCATGACCTGAGCCGAAGGCAGACGCTTAACGACTGAGCCACCCAGGCGCCCCAAAGGTTAATGTTTCTCTAAATAAACTCTGTAGCACCAGGAAGCCCCGATATTTAAGCAAGTATGAACAAATGATTCATTGGAATTGCCATGTCCAATTTCTTTATGTAGTAGGTGTTCTGAAAGTGGAATACAAAACGTTTTCACCTTCTACCTTCTGTTTATTCCTAAACTCACCTGTTCTTATCACATCACTAGTCTCAGTTTATAAGGAAAGGAGATAGCACATTTACAGATTCTTCTTTGTGTTCCTAACACACTAACTTCTCATGAGGGACGGGCTTTGTAATCAGGAGGTAATTTTCCCCGCTTGCTTTTGTGACCAGAGGAATTTGGTTGCCAGCCAGCTGCAACTCTGTGGGGCCCAGTGCGGGGTGGGCGGCCTTGGGGGTGGGTAATGGGGGCTACCCCTGGTCCTGTCTTTGAACAGGTGGCCTTGGAACCATGGGGGTCCTTCAGTTAACAGGTCTTTTGTGAAAGGACCCAAGTGCGTAGCCCCTGCGGGAGCCAGGCACTGGGCAGTATGTCTTGATGGCCAGCATCGATAGTGTGTGTCGGGCTTCATGTTACGGTTCACCCTGTTTCCTCTGTCACCTGTGGCCAGGGTGGTGGGAAACGTTAGAGCTCCTGCTTTCCTACTGGGAATCCAAGCTTGCTGGCCTACCTGTTCCTCTCAGGCTCGCACGGGCCTTCTCCTCCTATGTGGACACTGGGCTTCAAGGGAGGGGAGTGTTGGCTTCCAGAGAGTCGATTTTTTTTTTTTTAAGATTTTACTTATTTGAGAGAGACAACCAGAGAGAGAGAGAGAGAGCACGAGGGAGTGGGGTAGAGGGAGAAGCAGGCCTCCTGCTGAGCGAGGAGCCCACTGTGGGGCTTAATTCCAGGACCTCGGGATCATGACCTGAGCTGAAGGCAGACACTTAACGACTGAGCCACCCAGGCGCCCCCAGCCAGAGTCGACTTTCTTAACACCTGTAGTAAACTTGTCACAGTGACTTGGGACAGGGCCTGAGCTGGAGGGCATGTGAAGGCAACCCTTTGTGTTAGACTCCACAGCTCCTCACTCCTCCAGTCAGTGCTCCCTGCCATTCTGTCAGACACAAAGGAACATGCCCAGAGCTTATGGCTTCCTCTCTGCTGGAGTGTTTGCATCTCAGTCTGGGGCGCTTGAACCTCTCTCGGGAGCCCCAAGGATTCCCATGCAAATTGTGTGCCTGGTGGCTTGCCTTGATAGACCTCAGAATTCTTTCAGGTAACAGATGAGCAGCCTTATTTGGGAGATTTGGAGGCCATTTATATTGTATGTTGCTTTGTATCCTATTTACATATACGATTTGCTTTTGCTTGGGCTATTTCTACATCAACTTTTCATTCCCTGAATGGGGTTTGGGAGAGGGAAGGAGGGGGGCCCCAGTTCTCAAGAGTTGTCATGGGAAAACCAGCACCTTCTCATCCTTCTATATGACATTTTATATGAATTTTTGAGAGTTGGTTATCGTCAAATTCTTTTATCTGGAGAAGCCCATCTTTTCTGCTCCCTTTCTCTACTCATTTACTGCCACAATCTGCTGTACCCAGCGGCTTCCTAGAGAAAGAAAGAATCAGTAGGAGCTGATTGGAATTTTTCAAATGCATGGAAACAGCAGGACATGTGAAGCCACGATTGGGTGTGCTGGTCCTCGGCAGTGGCTTGTGTCAGACGAGGGTGTGTGTGTGTCTCCTCCTCTTCCTGATTATTGCCTTCTAATTACCCCCCACCCCACCCCAGAAATGATGTCCTATCAGAATGTTGAGGGTGAAAGGGGGAGGTTAGTTAGCACTTTTAAGTAAATGGTTTACCACCGCAGCTCATTGGCATCGATTAAAATGCAAATCCTCTCCCTCAGTAGGTAGAATGGGGCTTTGATGTGTCCTCTTGTTGGGTGGTGGTTGGAGTGGGGAGAGTCAACAGCTGATTTAGTAATGAGGGTTCATCAACAGAAATTGCTTCATTTCTATGCTCTGAGGCAGTTTTGTGGAGCGCTGAATTTTGGGAAATAGAACCAGGGCACCTCGAAGAAAGAGCTGGTTCTGCCTGAGAGTCAGGCCTGTGTGGTGTGGAGAAAATTGCTCAGGCAGAGAAGGCTTCTCTCCATTTGCAGGGTCCTTTTGCTTGAGTGTATGTGAGGTAGGATGAAAACTCTTGCCCTGAGTGAGGATATAGGATCTCTAGCTGAAGGGTCTCATCAGAGAAATTCTGAGGTCCGAAGCTCTCTAGGGAAAGATTTCCCACTACAGGTTCTCAACAGCCTTTCTCCTCTATCAACCAAATTCTGTAGCCGGCCTTTCTCCTCTATCAACCAAATTCTGTAGCCATGCATTTTCAGCTAACTTAAGACTGCTTGAAGACGGCGGATTCCAAAGAGGTTGCAAATGTATGTTGTATAGTATTTGTGTCAAGGAATCAGACAAGGGTGAATTGTAGAAATTCTCCAAACCTGAGAGAGGATTTTTGGTTTAGAGCTGTGCTGTCCAGTACTGTAGCCATTAGCTGTACCAGCACTTAAAATGGGGCCACTTCAAATTGAGATGTGCTGTAAGGATAACATGTGTATTGGATTTTGAAGAATTAGTAAGAAAAAGGGATGTAGGGCACCTGAGTGGCTCAGTTGGTTAAGCGACTGCCTTCGGCTCAGGTCATGATCCCCGGGTCCTGGGATGGAGCCCCACCTCAGGCTCCCTGCTCTGCGGGGATCCTGCTTCTCCCTCTCCCTCTGCCTGCCACTCCCCCTGCTTGTGCTCTCTCTCTCTCTCTGTCAAATAAACAAAATCTTAAAAAAGGGGGGGGATGTAGAATGACTCATTTTTTTTTGTTTAATACTGATTCCATGTTGAAACAAATAAGATATACTAAAATTTCATCTTTTTTTACTTTTAAAAATTGTGTCTCAGTATTTCCGTCGGGCATCACCAGACAGGATTTCATTTTTCTCCTACCTGCGCAGATTCCTTTTTCCCACTAGAGGGAGCTGCGTTCTAGTTTCAGGAAGTCGGGTGCTTTCGCATGTAAATTTCACTGCCTCTGTACCCTTTTAAAAAAGAAGCAAAAAACAAACAAAAAGTTTCTGCTTTGTTTCAGTTCTGCACAATTCTGATGTTTGTGGAGGTTGCTCTTTGTATGTAAGCGAAGCCAAAACAGAAGAGGCAAGAGGCAGAGAGGTTTTCCCACCTTTGTGTTAATGAATTTTAGGAGGTTCCTGTTAACTTCTTTGTTGGATTGCAGTAGTTTGCCCTTTGTTTGTGGGCTCTTCCCTGGGACTTGAGTCTGTGCACAATTCACGCACACACAACGTGATGTGTGTGCAGCTGTTAACAGGTGCAGCTGTTAACAGGAAGAACCAGAGCCCTGCTGCAGTCACACACCTCCACAGCGCCCCCTGCACACGGTGGGATGCGGTGGGAATGTGTCCCGGAGCTGGGCCATGTGGCACCCTGGGCCAGTGCTCCCACCCCGCCCTTTGCTGTTCCCAGGGGCAGTGTTGCCCGTGGTTGGAGATTGGGGCTCCTCTAGTGTGTGTGTGTGTGTGTGTGTGTGTGTGTGTGTGTGTGTGTGTGTGTGTGTCTCTCTCTCTCTCTCTCTCTCTCTCTCTCTCTCTCTCTCTCTGCCCCTGGATCCTACTGTGAAACCAGCGTCCTTTCAGGATTATGTCTTAATGACTACACACTCTCCTGGTTTTCCTGCAATCTTTCTGGGTAGTTCCTTTTCAGTTCTTCTGTAGTTTTGTAGGTTTGTTGGTCTGATAAGCACTGGTTTTCCCTTGTTTGTATACCCTGAGCCTTTTGGGGTACCACGAGCCCCAGGCAAAGGCCGCGCCAATCTTGTTTCATTCCTGGTATATTTTTTTTTGTGCCTGGTTATTGTACACCCTTAAGAAGTATTTGAATATTTTGTTATGCTTTTTTTTAAACCAATTGTATACTTATTACTATTATATGATTTCATTTTATAATCTTGTTAGCATTATGTCCGTATCATAGGGCTGTGATCACCATCATTTTGTGGCGTGATCTGTTTAAAATAATTCTTCACCACCTATACAGGTGAGGCATTTGCACTAATTCCCCCCTTGGTTCCTGTTGCTGAAAGCTTTTTTTCTTGATCCCTTTCCGTTTGTGACCCTTATTACAATTGAAGGGGACATTTCCATCAGCCCCACTCTGTATTTCCAGGAACTTAGGTCACAGGAAACTGGAGTGGAAGGTCAAGGAGTCTGACGTGTCTCCATGTCTGTAGCTCAGTCCACAGTCAGCTTTTCCAGAACATATTCCAGTTTCTCTTAGTGGTTCTTCTATTAAACAACCCAGTTTTAAATAAAACTGACTAATGAAACACTGTTTTTCTTGTCAGAACATGAAGAGGAGCTGGATCGACAGTTTGCCCTGGAGATTGGCACTTTATTTGGAGGATTAAAGAAGGTACTTAGTGGATAAATGATAAAGCTTCTCAGTTTTCAAACCTGGTTTCAGTATTTTGTATTACTATTGTATTTGGCTACTGATGAGCTGTGTATTTGTTTTTCTAAGCATTTTGATAGATTTTTATTTATTTTTATTTTTATTTTGATAGATTTTTAAAATGATAAAAAAAATTGCTTTCTACTGTTTTCGCTCTAAGTATTTAGTGTGCCAGATATATTTTAAGTTCAATCAGTGTTTGTGGGCTGGCTTGGGACATAAAATAATGCTTGCATTCCAAGTTCCAAACACCCAACTTAACAAATGAGCTTTTGGAAGACCATTCATTTCCAAGCTGGGCACTGCCTATTGCTGCTATTTTTCTACTGTGAGAGTTGCAGGTCTTGCTTAGAATTGCAGCAAGTATACTTCAGTTTCCATTTTGATTTTCTAGGGTAATCTGTCCCTTCTTTCCAGCTTTGGCTCTGTATGGAGCCACTGTATTAGATGGAAGGCCCATGTTCTTGTGGGACTGGGAAGAATGTCCTACCCTGCATGGGGTGCCATTCCCGGCTTTTGTTGTTCTACCCACCAGAAGTTTCCCTGAAAAGTTGGACGCAAATCGAGTTTTCATTCATTGCATCCATTTGTAACTGTTTCTGACTTAAGCCCTTTCAGGATATTAGTAAGACTGTAAGGTGGATGGTATTGTGCCCACTTCAGAGATGAGGAAATCTGGGAAACTTCTGTCGTGGTGGAATTTGAGATGTAGCAGGAGATAGCCCTAGTGAGTGTCTAAGATCTCTCTCTCTCTCTCTTTTCACTATTGGATCTCTTACAACAGAAAAAAATGGTGTGATCTCTCTCTCTCTCTCTTTCCCCCTCTTATAGTTATAATTCAGGCATTTCAGACAATACTGAATTGTTTGCCAGGGGCAAAAATAAACAACCCATTTTGGACTAAGAGACTTCTAGCTCTTGAGAAGAGAAGCCATTGCAAAGCAGGATGAGCAGCTGAACAGAGGGTCAGGCCCCAGCAAGTTCTGGAGCTGTGTCAGATTTCATCGTCAAGGGGCAGGCTCCGTCCTGCTGTGTGTGCCACTTCCAGACAAAGGGGCTTTGTCTTTGCTCACTTCCCAGCTCCTGTCACCACTCCTTCAAGTCTAGCTGCTTGACTCCCTGCCAAGGCTGTAGAGTCCTGGGGAGATGACCTTTGCTAAGCATTCTCCATGACAGACCCTCCCCCCACCCCCCATAACAGGGCATGGGTCAGGGGGTGTCAACATTCAGGACAACCCTGCCTTCATGAAAAAGTGCATAAAGCACAGATACATGCCCTTGGAGCTCCAAGGACTCAGTCCTTCTCCATTCTGAAAAATCTCTGTCCATGCCTCTGTTTGACCATCCATCCATCGATCTGGTGCCATTGAGTACCTCTTGTCCTCATCTTTCTGTGTCTCATCCCTTGCAAATGGGGTGGGTAGTGTGGAGTCTTAGAATTAGGGGGAAAGTGAGGAGTCCTGGTAGATAGTCAGTAGGTGAGGGCAATTGATACTGTGTCCTTGGTGAAGATCATAAGACCCGGGGCCAAATGTAGTGCTAGGGAGTTTACAGATATCTGCTGAAAGTCTCATTTCAGCTAATATAGAGGCCTGATAGGTTCTGGACACTCCTTGATGTATATTTCCTTTCTTTGAGGTTATGGAAGGTGGTAAGCAAATGCTACCCTGCTCTAAATTCTAATCAAAAGAAGATATTTGGTGAGAGTAGGAATTGTGAACTTTAGAGAAGAGCTTTAATGTTCTCTGACCAGTCCATGCCTTAAATGTTACAGTTGCTAAACTCAGCACTGCTGACATTTTAGACCAGATAATTCTTTGTTGTGGGGGAGCTGTTCTGTACCTTGTAGGACGTTTAGCAGTCTCCCTGGGCTCTGCCTAGTGTATGCCAGCAGCAACTACTGACCCAGGTCATGACAATCAATAATGTCTCCCAGCACTGACAGGTGTCTTTGAGAACTGGTCTACCGCAATATTTAGGCGCTCTCCCCAAACAGCCCCTGCCATTTCTGATTTGCCATTTCTTTTGCCTGTTCCCTCTTTGGGATTGTTTCTCTCCCTTTCCCTGTCTGGTCCATATTCCCTCTTCACATCTGAGCCCAGTTGGCTCTCTGTCACAGAAGCATTGCCTGGACCTCTGAGCTGGGTTTAGTGCTCATTGTTCCTGACACTTCCCTGCCTCTCTCTTTATCCCCTTCCACACATAATACTTTTAATGAGTCTGTTTCTGGGCCCAAGTCTGTACTGAGTGTTGGGGACAAAATCGTTTCTAGACAGATAAGGTTCCTGTCCCATTGTCTCTTAATGGGGACAGACCAAAGGTAAGTAAATGAACAAACCTAACAGCCACAGATCGAGCTAAATGATAATGATGAAAATATATAGGGTGATGTGATATAATGCTTTGGATTGTGTCTTGTGCTCTATAATGATGAATATATTTGTACAGTTGTATTTTATATTATCCATCCTCCACTAGACTGTGAGTCCCACAGGGACAGGGCTGGTATCAATCAATCTGGTATCTTTAGTGCCTAGAATAGAAGAGGTGAGTATTTTATTGAATGTAACTGCAGGAAAGAGTGAATACCACTGTGCCGACTTGTAACATTGGAGTAAAATGCATCAGTACTAACTGCATTTAGAGAGATGTGTAGGTATATGTGGAGTGGGACGGTGTTTATAGTCAGAGCAGGGAGAGACCACCATGGCACAGCCCATTACAAACTGCTTCTGTACAGCTGAGCTACCCAGAGTGGTAGGATTTGGCAAGGTCATCAGTAGAGGAGATGTTGTTCCAGAGGGGCTCACTGTGATTGGAAAAGGGAAGGAGGTATTAGGGAGATGCTGATCCAGGTGAAGCTTCACTGAGGGTAGTGAAGGGGATCTGGGGCTGACCAGTCCTCCACCTTTTGATGATGTTGGAGTTTGGAGGATTATAGCCCAAATCAGGAATGCCTTTGGGCCTGGTAATTTCTTTGGCATGAAGCCGATGGCACTTTGCTGAGATGCCAGATGTGGGGGGTAGGGAGCTTGTGTAGGTGCAATGGTCACTGACTGCTCACATCCCATATGCTGAGGCATTTGCATCCTCCTTTGCAATGTCTGCTCTTCCTGGCTTGGAAGTGCCCCTTCCTGCAGGAACCAGTGGCTTCCTGGAGCAGGTGTGTGCTGAGAGCCTGTGGGTGGCCAGGGATGGGTCCCGCCTGGTCCCTTTCCATTTTGGGCCATTCTCTGTCTTGGTGTTTGGTGGTCCCCTTGTCTTTTTTTTTTTTTTTCGGCTAGTTTTCTGGCTAGTGGTCCCAGTCGATAAAGGGAACTTTTTAGTGCCCATGTGCCTTGCATGACTGTAGTAAATCCGGACGGTCTGAATCAAACTGATAACAAATGAAGCTCTATGTTGGGTTGTACTGTCATGAATTTTTTCCCCTTTTATTATTTCTGATTCGAGGTAGTTGGCATAACGGAAGGGGCACAGGTTTGGAGTTGGATGGACTTGAGTTCACAATGCAGTTTACTGCATTTTGGAAAATGCTTTAGCTCCTCTGAGCCTCAGTTTTGTTATCTGGAGCATGGAAAGGGGAGGCTGTGGGGAAAGAGATGCTGGATGGAGAGCACCCAGCCTGTGTGTGCCTGGTGCAGAATGGATGCCCAAAATGTGTTTTTGTGGTGGTGGTTATGTTTTTCCTTGCACAGAAAACATCCTTGTTTCAGAGTTAAGATTTGTTGATTCTCCTTCTCTGGCAAACAGGTAATGTTGTACAGAGAAGCATTTAAATCTAGACGGGGATTGCTACTGAAGGGGGAGCTCTCAAAAGCCTAATGTCTTACAAAAAATTTTACACGTAATCCATTCCTCCTTCTTTCCTGAGGACGCTCCTTCCTGCGGCAGATTCTGAAATGGGGGCATCCTTGTAGATAATAAGTTCTTCCAGAAGTAGAATCAGAGGGGAATTTTCAGTGCCTGTCAGAAGGGTGAGGAAGAAAAGACAAGATCAGAGGAGGGAAGCTTGATCACTTAAGTCTTTGAATGTGAAGAGAAAAGAGGTACTTTTCTAAAGTACAGACCCAGTATTTATTTATTTATTTTTTTAAAGATTTTATTTATTTGACAGAGAGACACATAGCGAGAGAGGGAACACAAGCAGGGGGAGTGGGAGAGGGAGAAGCAGGCTTCCCATGGAGCAGGGAGCCCGATGCAGGGCTCGATCTTAGGACCCTGGGATCATGACCTGAGCTGAAGGCAGACGCCCAACGACTGAGCCACCCAGGCGCCCCGAGACCCAGTATTTAGCACTCAAGTTTCGCCTCTACAGATTTTAAAATTCAGCTCATTTTTTTTAATTCCTCTGTAATTTCAATACTTTATTTTATTTTATATTTAAAGATTTTACTTATTTGACAGAGACCCAGTGAGAGAGGGAACACAAGCAGGGGGGAGTGGGAGAGGGAGAAGCAGGCTTCCTGCTGAACAGGGAGCCCAGCGCGGGGCTCCATCCCAGGACCCTGGGATCATGACCTGAGCTGAAGGCAGATGCTTAATGGCTGAGCCACCCAGGCGCCCCTGTATTTCAATACTTTAAAAAAACAAAAAGCTCTGTTTGATTCTCTGAACAAATACTCCTTGAGCCCCCACTGTGTGAGAGGCTTCTAGGGGGTGGGCTGGGTGCTGGGAGGCCAGGACATTCTGGGCTCAGTCTCCTCACTGAGTTCTGGATTTGGGGGAGGGTGATGATTGGGCTGTGAGGCGGGTGATGCAACCCTCTGTGGGCCGTGGACAAGCTGAGGGTGCATATGATTTGGACCCACGGTAATTCCAGCTGCGGTCTCGGGGGAAAGGTGGGTGAAGGGCAGAGCATGTATTCGGACCTGGATGAGAGAGAGGGAGAATAGCTTGGCTGGGAGGCTGGGTGTGGGGGGAGGATGGTACAAGATAGATAGAGGCCGACCACCAAGGCTTTG